TACATGTCATCAAAAACGACTACTATCATGTTATTTTATTATTTCTGTTGCGGAGGTAACAAAATAATGTAGCGCTACACTTGATTACCATATTCGTTACATCTCTCGTACAATGATAAAATGTCAAGGATCATTACAAATGAAACGAAGCGTTTACGTAAATGAGTAAATGGGATTTATAGCTCCATAGTAACGAGCTTATTTCGTTGGTAGTAGAGCTATTTAAAACTGATCAATTTTAATTGCTTTAATTCTGGTAGAGAGGCAATTCTGTTTTAAATGAACTATTATACAAAATGACTAATATGTTATTGTTATAGTACTACATTGAATGTTGCTTTGTTATGGATTACGTAAGCTTCTAATGTATTTGCCTTTACACATTCTTTACGATGCATTTCTTAAAACGTAACGAAATTCGTTTGCTTTCGCAAAAACAAGAATACAAAATATGATGTTATATTTTCGTACTTGAAAGATCGTAAAATATTGTTCTGAATTTACAAAAATATATTGAAATAATAAATAAAACTCAATAATTTTACTTTTCCCCCTCCAATTTTATACCCAATAATAATAATAATAATAATAATAATAATAATAATAATAATAATAATAATAATGTGAAAATATTAAAGAATAAAAATTGAATCTAAGAAAATCAAAAGAAGAAATAAGTTAATAATTTTCAGACTATTTTTAAACTAAAAAGTAATAAAATTTCAGTGTTAAAACAGTCTACTTCTTTCCCAAATTCACCAGAACTTTAAATTTTAATGAATACTCCCATTGAAGACACTGCAGCCCTTTTGTAAATACTTTTTTCCGCATTGCTCTTGGAGTCGACTTGTAAGAAAAGCTCTTGTAAAACCTTTGTAACTTGTACTGTCGAGCCTGTGTATGTAGTATAGTTTCTACAGTTACGAATTAAATGAAACGAAAGGTACGCTACAAAAACGTCCGCTTTAGCTATTTCTATGTATTCTTCCAACAGGAAAAAAACAGTAGGCACACAAATTTCAATTAATTTCTTTGCAATGTTCATGGATATTTTCGAGGTTATCACTGAGGCTTATTTTTCACACAACGTCCACGTTATCTTCAGCAATGGCGTTTTTAATGCGCTGACACGTATGGCGAGGAGAAATTACCTTTAAAGGTGATAGAACTTAATTTAAATTTCTCACCTTGTGATATGTGGCTGATACTCAATTCTAATGAGTAACGAACTTACGAGTAATTTATCGTTGACCCCTCTCTGACATTCATTTTTACGATACACCTATTCCATTTCCTCAGAGATTTACTTTCCAAAACCTCACCAGATCCATTCAAGAAGAATTCTCATTTGTTCCTTTCCATGAAATACTGCTAATTCTGTTCGGACTTTCCTTAGTTATTATTGGAAACACTGCACATATTTTTTAGGTTTCAAGTTATTATATTCCCAAATCAAATTAAACTACTTCGTGGTTTTCCTGGTTTGCCGAATTTATTAAAACTTGTATATTGTTGTCATACTTTTTAAGTTCACACCATACATCTGCTTCATTATGTATCACTCTTTCACTCTTTATTGTGTATATCAGAAGCCCCTTTCTTTCAAAGATAAAGTGAATTATGCCTATTTTGCGTACATGTGTATCTGCCATTACTACGTGTGTTTGTTTGTTCTCAGGGGCCCGAACGTGTCCATCCTGCACCTGCGAAGCA